CTGGGCGGGGACTTTCTATAACCCGGGAGGCGGGGAGAGGCAAAATTGGGGGCGGACCCCGGCTGCGGTCATATGTTGGGGGTGCGGTCGAGGGGGGCTTCCCGGCGCAGGCGCCTCTGGCAGGAAATCGAAATTGATTTGGGAGGGATGGGGCTTTGTCGTTGGAAGGAGCGGTAGATCTGCACCTTTTTTTCTGGCCGTACTGGGGCTTAAACCCAGGGCCTTTACCCTGAGCTACATCCTGAGCCCTTCTCTTAAATTTTAAAGACAGCTGTGCGCACTACCACCAACGCAGTCTTCTTCAATTTTGAGGCGGAGTCTCACTAAGTTTCCCAGGCTGCGTTCCAGCTCGCACTTGTGGTCCTTGGCGGGGTGCTGGGATTGTGTTGGTGTGACCACCACGCAGGGGGGCACGTCTGCCTCCTAGGAGTTAATGTTTCATTCTTGAAATAGGGACAGGATGCAACAGGTGGGTGGGGCCTCGCGAGGCCGGGCCTGACTCACATTTCGGTATTTCATTTTGGCTCCCAGCACTCCAAGAGGCTGAGGCAGGAGGACTGCAATTTGGAGCACAGCCAGGGCAATTTGGCGACTTAGCCAGACTTGTCTCAAAGTAACTTTAAAAAGGCTGGGGATACAGCTGAATGCGAAGGCTCTGAGACTAAACTCTACCTCCATAAGAAAACCATTGATATTTTATTCATCATCTCCTTTTGCATTTTTACACTTTTCCTGAACACACACACACACACACACACACACACGCACTTTTCTTTTGAGACAGCTTCTATGTAGTTTAGGCTGCGAACTAACAGATCTGGCTCAGCTTCCTGAGCGCTGGGATTACAGGTGTGCGCCACCACGGCCCGCCTCCCGGACGTTTTCCTCTCAGGGCTGGGCCTGTGGCTCAGTGCTGTGCAGGTGGCCTTGGCCTCCTCTCCGGCGCTCGCTCGCTGAGCTTTAGGCAACGCAGTAAACGCGAGTTGAGTTGGAAGCTGCATCCCAGGCGCCCCCCGGAAGTGGCAGGGCCCGCACCACCCCCAGCCGCGCCTGGGGACCCTGCATGCACTTCCTTCCCCCCCGGTGGGGGTGCAGGTCACTTCCGCAGCGCCACAGGTCACAGCCACGGCTCTTTCCTGCCCTTCAACTTCGAGTTCTCGGCCCGGTCCTGCTTCTTCAGCGCCGAGACTTCCTCACACTTTCTCATTTCTTCTCTTCCCAGAATGGTGTGGGAAAGCCCGGCGTGGGTCGCAGCTGTCATCGTAGCACTGTGGGAGGCTGAGGCAGGAGGTTCGCACATCCAAACCCAGCCTGCACTTAGTGACTTAGCAACTTAGCGGAACCCTGGCTGGCCTGGAGCTCGCGTGAAGGCCCTGGGTTCGAGCCCCAGTATGGGGGGGAGGAAAACGCGCTAAGACTGGCCTGTGAAGTGAGAGATCATATTTAATGGGCAAACAGCGACGGCCCCCCTCCGCCCCCGTCGGGACCCCACTACTGCCCGCCGGCTCCGGGGTCCTCTGCCG